CTCACAGATAGTCTTTATATATATATATATATATATATATATATACACACACAATAAAAATCAGCGCTGCTTTTTAAATATTTACCTTGTGTGGATATCGAACATTTGTATCTGAACTATCATTACTTATCAGGCATAATAGTAAATTACAGAAAGCCCACATATGAAATATGTTTAGTCTATCTTTTTATAAACTTTAATTTTAATTACTGAAATTCTACATTCACTCAACTGACTTACTTTCTTTGCATGACCACAGGATTTTAAAAAGACCTGTATAATTTTAATAAACATTAAGTGTTACAAACTTTTTTGATATAGATGGCTAATAATTAAAATCTATAATTCTTGTAATGAAATATATTAAAATAATGATAATCCAATTTTTTAAAAGCATGCCCAGATAATATCAGTAAAATTTGTAACAAAAATTAAAGGGAAAAAATTTTTGTAATAGCCCTGGGCTGCAAATAAGTATTGCCTAAGTAGGGGAGCACTTGATTTTCAATAAAGGTGCTGAATAACCACTATTATCATGTATTAATGAATTGATTTGCATCTAGTAAGACAAAAGCTTTAAAAGCTTTGGTCCATTTTTCATTTCTTAAAAAGTGAAACCTTGTTGTGGTGGCTATTACTTGTTACTTTTCAATTCATTTGGTATATAAATTCTTTAATGAAAAATAATCCAGTTTAAATATAAATGATTTCAGGAACATCCAATCTTTCTGACATCATTTAGCACATTGCAACTACAGAATTTATTTTATTAGCTACTGAAGGACATTCATTTCATTTGCAGCTTTTTTTAATCTCGATTTTATTGCATTTTAATGTTGTTAAAGCTATGTTGTATTATTATATTTTAGTTCCCTGTAAAGCTAGACATTTTAGTTGATAAATATTAGTTGTTTAATTCATTGCAAAAAAATTTGTTTTTGCTATAATAGAATACTTCAATTATGTTCTAGAATAAAAGCTGAATTTTTGAGCAGTCAAGTTAGTATTAATTACTTGGACTAATTAAGAATTATGAATTATGTACTACCAAATTTATGAGACTACTTTGTATATACTGTGTTCTTATTGTTAACAAAATCAAGAAGGATAAAAATGCAAATCTAGTTTGGAGAGTTAATGCTACATACATTATATTTTAATCTGTAAGACATTTGGTTAAACATGTGTGATAAATGGCTTTTGTCGGTTGATATATTCATTTAATGCCATGAGTATGAAAAACAAGAATGTTCAATACCTGAAGAATTTAAATAACTAAAAGGCTGCCTTAACACGTTGTCAAAGCAACTAGCATGCTGCAGTCTGTAGATCGTTCAGGTTACCTTTAGATTGTGTGACTTGATTAAGATGTGCTATAGATTTTTGTGTAGGTTTAGAAGAAAACCATATTTCTTTTTATTGACTAGAATCCTATATAAATTGCATTATGAAAAATATGGTAGGTGTATTGAGAGAAATCTGTTTCAAGCACAATAATCTTACTTTAGGATAACTACTACTGTGGAGTACCAGTACTACAAAAGGGAAAGCTGACCCTGTTAGACATTCCCTTTGCACAATTTGATTAATTTTTTTAGATATTTCAAAAGAATTCTCCCAATAATATTTCTTCATAAAATAACTGGAAATTAAATAATGAAAGCTATTTTAAATGAATTCTTATTTGGAAGCTATATTTAGGCTAATATTTATTGCTATATTAATTGTAATTTTTGTCATAATCTGAGACTTAATTCTTAGAAACAGTCTGACCAATATAACAATTAGAATAGGAAGTACAGTATTTTTGCTAAACACAGAGTAATTATTTCTGAAATTTTTCTTTGGATGAGAATGTTTGAAGTATGAATATTAGAACATTTGAATCAGAGCCAAGCAGTCTTTGTTAGTGTTTGACTTATAAAAGTAAAGAAGCGTGGATGAAGCTGTGTGTTGCCTATGGTCAATTGGAACTAATTAAATTTATTTGAGATGAAGAATCTTGACTGAAAGAGAACAGCTGGAAAAACTGGTAAGGAAAACACTGAGTCTTGATTGAGATGATTTAAACCTTCATCTTGTCATTTAAAAAAAATATGCTGCAGCTTCTTTTTATATCTCTTTATATCTCTTTTTAAAAGAAATATCTATTGATCGGCTATACAAGGTATTGCCATCGTACCTTGGTCAACATACACAGTCAGATTTATTTAGCATTCTTTCTTCAGGCTCATCAGATCTTTCTTTTAATTACATATTTCAAATTATATATCACAACCATGTTAGTAATTTTGTAAATTAATATTGTTATGCAGGAAAATATTGAAACCTATTCTACATTTTAAAAATATTGTACAGTATACATGAGAAATGTACTTTCTTTTCCAATGGAATTGCTTCATGTTTTGCAATACTTTGTATGTTTAAAATATTTAAGTATTTTCTATAGAGTAAAATCAATAGTATTAAAATTATTCTAGATTATAATTTCATAGTCTTAAGAATATTACCATGCACTTGTGTATTTGCTTTTGTAAGTATATATTACAGTATTAGAACTTAAATGTTATATAGGTATAATATGTCAATATTTGTAAATATGCTATTTATATAGTGATATTGATAGAGTGTAATTAATGGAGTAAATGTTGCTAAAAACTAACTTATCTAAAATATTTTAGATGAATCATAATCTAATTTTTTTAAGTAGAATTTTTGTAAGACGTAATTTTCCTTTCGTAGCACTCTTCATGGTAAAAGACGGCATTCTAATTAGGGATGAAGTAATAGACCTAACTGCTTCATTTTAAAAGCAACCTTTTTGTAATTGCAGGCTGAAAGAATTTTAGAAGTATTGTATCACACACCTGCATGTATTCTTTTAGGAAATTCACTGTATTCTTCTGAGGATCATACTTTTGTGTCCTGTATCTTGTTCAATACAGCAAGGACAAAAACTGACCATGTAACAGTGATAAAGGACTAAGAGTCACTATGATTGTCAAAAAGGACAGTTTGATAGTTGACAGATTTAACTCTTTGTGACAGAAACAGTGATACATGGATCAACTACCTTTGGATGTATATTTTATAAAATGATGATTAGCTACACTTTAATTACTAATTAGGGCCAAATGAATTTCTCCCTATCACTGATTAATAGATTTTCAGAATAAATGCATTTTATTGGTATTGTATATTCAGTGTTGACAGAATCTCTATGTGTTGGCCTCCCCACTTCTGTTGCATTCTACAGATACGTGTTTGGATCTAATTCTTTGCAGATGTATATTTTATTAATATAAGGTTTACTTTTCTGCAAGGACATCTTATTTTACAGGAATAATTGTATAATTTTCTATAAATATGCCTTTGTTATTTCTTGGGTTGTGGAGTCAAAGTTTTTTGTAGGTGGAATCTTAAAAGCTTTTTTATCTTTCTCTGTTCATAATCAAATAGTGCCATTCCTTATTAAAAACTTACATAATGGGTACTCAGTGGCATAAGACATGTTATTTGACCTCTCAGATACAAGAATCTATGTAGCACAATTAATATGAAAAGATCTAGCAGTGATCAAAGTAGTTGTATATGTTTCATTCTGAACCGTTTATAGGAATCTTCTTAGTACTCAATTCATTCGTTAATTCAGTGAATTTATTTCAAACACCCCAGTGCCAGACACCGTTTAGGATATGTCAATGAACAAAATATGCAGCAACAGTTTTCCTTCTGGAGCTTGCATTCTAGTGGAGAGAGGCAGACAAAAATAATAATAATAAGCAAATATGTAGTATGTTAGGAGATGAGATAAGCTATGGAAAAAAACAGTAGACAGAGGTAAGAGAAACTGAATCTAATATACTTCATATATTTGTATAATATCAGTATCTCTGTTATATTACAGTTGAAAAGGATTTCCAGTCTGAGACTAATATTGATTTGCTGAATTTACTACTTACTAAAAGCCCTTTCTATAAGATGTTCATACATTTTTATGGCTGAAAGATAGGAAACTTACCATCTTAACATCCAGATAAGCCCAAAGAAAAACATATGAGATAGTATGTATTCAGATATGCGATGTATTTTCCAAACAAGAGTCAGTTTTATATTAATGAACTAGATTATACCTATACCCTC